ATAACGTGGGCGAGCAGCCGCCTGCTTGCGAGCAAAGTTTTCACCCCGGGAAAAAGAAGAAAGTTAAAGGGAACCGGCCCGGGAGGCGAAGAGAGCACGAGCGCGGGCGGAGAGCAACCCGGGCGCCCGAGAAAGAGCGGAGACAAAGAGAAAGCAAGGAGAAAACGCCCGAGGAAACCCCGGAGAGGGGGCAGGGCCCGCGCGCACCCCGTGGTGGGGAAGGGAACCCGGCCCAGGGTCGTCCCGGCCCCCCCACCCCCACCCCGCACTGCCCGGCAACCCCCCCCACGCCCAGAAAAGCGCGCAGGAGGGGGAGGGGATGCTCCCCCCCCCATCCCCTAGTCCCAGCAAAACACATCTGTGTTTTGTCTTCTGTGCCGCACCGAGGTCGCCTTTCCCTCCAACCCAGTCTGATCGTCCGGGTGGCACCCGCACGCACAGGGCCATGCCCTTACGGGCACGCATCCCCCCCTCCCCCGCTTGTGAGGAAGGGAAGGCCGCTGGCATCTCTGCCTGCTCCGTCCCTGCTTGAATAGTCCGTTATCAACTGTGTGCAGGGCCCGTCTGTCAGGAACACCGGACACCAGGGCCAATGCCACTCGCAGACTGGTCTGCCAAGCCTCCGATGTGCAAACAGCCCAGTCCTCCCTAGGTCTGCTTACTGCAGGTTTGTTGGTGCTTGCTCCCTTGTGCGCGCTGCAGATCTCCAGGCATCTCACTGGACCCTCCCCAAACACTTTTTCAAAGAAATACGTGACTCCATTTCACAGATGAGGATACTGAGATCTCATGAGCTTGAGGAAACTTACCCATTATCTCCCAGCTGATATGCACCAAATCCAGCCATAGAAACCTGGGCTCCTAGCCTAGTGCAGTAGCAGATAGTCTCAGAGACTCATTAGTCTGACGCAGGAAGAATCACTTGAACCCAGAAGTTCGAGGCTAGCTTAAGGCAATACGTTGAGAAACCCCCTCAAAAGGAAGAGTCAGGCAATAGTGTCTCAAGCCTGTACTCCTAGCTACTCAAGAGGTTTAGAGCTGAGACCTAGGTTCAAAGCCACCCTGGGCAAGAAAGTAAGATTCCTATCTACAATTAACTACCCCCCAAAAAGCCGGAAGTGGAGCTGTGACTCACGTGGTAGAGCGCTAGCCTTGAGCACAAAAGCTCAAGGATGGTACCCAGGCCCTAAGTTCAAGCCCCAGGACTGACACAGGAGAAGTAGGTCTTCCCCTGCATCACATTTCCCAATGGCTAACCCTACCACCACCCCCATCATGTGGTCTCATAGAGCATCCTCACCAGCACTCAAGTTACTCCTGAACTCATTCTTGGTCACCTTATCAAAGACTTGGGACTGGGTCAGTATTCTTTGGCCATCCTGCTATAGCAGCCATACAAGTTTAGGGGGGAAATCTACTGAGCTTTGTTTGGAACTCAATTTCAATTGGTTTATCACTTGAAATGTGCAGTCCAGTAACAGACCAGGGTCTGTAACAGAACTAGTCCTGTGCTGGCCCCTGGGGTTGCCTTGTGCCCCATGCATTAGTCCCCATAAAGGGCTCATTTTGGTCTTACTGGCATTTTCATAAGCCCTGAGAACTTAACAAATAAATGCCTTAAGGCTGGTCTGGCCCAGCCCAGCCTTCAAGGAAGAAGGCCTTCCCCAGCATCCCGAAGAGCCAGAGCAGGCCACCCAAGCCAGCTCTTCCAGGGAGGAGAGCTCACCACAGCCCAAGGAAATAAATCCATCTCGTTGTAGGACAGCCTGGATTCTCAGCCTCTCCCCGGGGAGCACTTCAGCTTTGCCTGCCTGTGCGGGTTACCACTTCTTGCTCTGTTTGTTTATGCCTTGCCTTGTGGCAGAAAGGCTTTCAGGTGACTTACAAGGGTACTTAAAATATGGCAAAATAACATAAATTAAAAGTGAAGTGAAAGGAAATAAATGTTTAACCATTGTGGACTGCAAGATCCCAATTGTATACTGAAAGGCGGCAGAGCACTTAGGAGGCCACATTTTGGAGACAGAGGGCTTGGGTTCAAATGCTGCCTAGGTCATGTGACATGCCAAGTCCTTTGTATCTTTTTATGCTCTGGCTTCCTCATCTGTAAGACAGGGGTAAGTCAGAGGGTTGTGAGAACCTAGGAAGTAGACATTACATTACAATTTATAACACATACATAGGGTATACTTAAATATACTTTCCCATATATGCCTGTACAAATATACAGAAAGCCAGGCACACAAGGGATATACACGTATGCGTTACCAGTATTAAATTCTTGGAACTATACAGAAAGTTTTGATTATTTAAAGAATATTTCAGTTACATAGACATTCATGTCATATAAAATGAAAACAGAAAATTCAACACACACACAGAGTATAATGTCATTTTTACTTTTTAAGAAGTATTCTGTGACAGCAAGGGAAGGGGTCACATTGTCCAAAAAGAAATGTACTTTTTACCTCATTTATCTAACTGCAATCCCATCACCGTTTTTTGTTTTTTTTTAATCGGTCATGGGGCTTGAACTCTGGGCCTGCGTACTGTCCCTCAGCTCTTCAGCTCAAAGCTAGCACTCTACCACTTGAGCCACAATGCAACTTCTGGTTTTCTGAGTAGTTGATTGGAAATAAAGAGTTTCACAAACTTTCCCATCCTGGCTGGCTTTGAACCGCAGTCCTCAAATCTCAGCCTCCTGAGTAGCTAGGATTACAGGTGTGAGCCACCAGCACCTGTCTCCCCTTTATAATAACAACAAAAAATGTTAAGTATTCTATGCAGAAGTTAGATCCAAAATATACTGGGACATGATTAATTATACAGGACTCACAGCAAGGCATGCACACACAGTGAGACCAAAGGAAGATATTCTTAGGAGAACAAAAAGGCACAATGTCTATGTGCATCTGATCATATAAAACAACATTTACCAAAATGAACTCCAGAAAATGAAAATAAGAGGTTTTTTTCTTTTGTTGCTGTTTTTGTTTTCTTTTCTGTCTTGTTTGTTCATTTATCTGTCTTTGGGAGGGTAAGAAGACACAGAAATGCAGAGACAAGGGGTGCACAAATGCAGCAGCGGTACTCACTAGACAGTGTACTGAAAATAAACTACATGACTGGTGGATGGGGAGAGGAGAGAAAAACTGGGAGACAGAAAGGGAAGGGGTGATGTTGTCCAAAAAAGAAACGTACTCTTTACCTGACTTATGTAACTGTAACCCCTCTGTAAATCACCTTTACAATAGCAATAAAATATACACATAAAAATAACATTATTAAGACTAGTTATCTCAGAAGAAGATTACTGGTGATTTTTACTTATCTTTGCTTGTATAGTCTCAAAGCAAGCTAAGAAAAAAAAGCAAGGGGAAGACAAAAGTGGAGAATGGAATGACGCTAAAATGCACCCCGCAATGGCCTATTCAACTCCTGTGTGTGGGCTAACAATTTGTCCCTAAGCTTTCCTGCAGCCCAAATGAAAAGGAGACTATGTTCCATACACAGTTTCCAGTGCCCATAAGATTAAAAACCAACCTGTTTCTCAAGAGAATTACAACTATTCTGGGTACTAAATTCAGACAGGAATATCTCCTGGCCGGGGAGGTGGGGGGGGGGAGTGTGTGGGGGAGACACAAAAGAGAACACAGTGTGAGGGAATGAGCAAACATCCCAGCCAACATCCCCATTAATAGTGACAACAGTGAGCCCCATGAGCAGTTTCTGTGACCAGCCCTCAATGTAATATTCAGATGGCATTGCACCAAAACACAAGTCAGGAAAAGACATCCTGACCAGAGGGATCTGAAAGAGACAAATTGGGGTGCTCAGTTTGCTGCCTACTCCATTAAGCACATTGTGGAGAATCTACCAGATTCCACAACCACCTTCCTCCTCGCTTCATTGTTTCTACAGAGTGTCTGATGGACCTTGCATGGTAGCACTCTGCTCAGACTGTGGCTCTCCACTACTAGCTGAGCTTATGCCAATGATCTTCAGCAGAGAATAGAGGGAGACTTTCTACTGTTATTG